ATAATATTTCTCACCCAACCTCTCTTTGATGTTGGCAAAAAAAAATCATGAAGTTTGACTTTGGTTTGACCACAGTTGACCTCAGTTTGACCTTTTAACTGCATTGACTGCTTTTGACTTATCTGATCATCTGACTGAGCAAACTTTTGAGAAAAGTCTTGAAACTTGACATGGGGGTTCTTATACACATATAAGATGTTATGAAGCTCACTTGAAGTCTTGGAAGTCCATTTAGCCTGATTAAAGTCAAAACCCTAGTTTTGGATGCACTGCTTAGGAGGTGCATTGTCTGAGGGAATTGTCAACTCTTCTGACCCATTATGAATTTTGTGAACCTTGTGAACCTTCTTGGAACACAAAGTCTTGTATTGTGAGGGCAAATTTTGGGGTGCAACAGAGTGTATTCGTGGAACCTACCAAATGAACCCTTGTTGTCCCGAGTCTCGTGGGGACGGTCTTCTCGTTTTTTATCTCCCCGACGAGATGTCGAGGGCTCGTCGAATCTAGACGGACGATAATTCTTCCTGTACCTGGAATCACGAGCAGATCTGACAGCCTCTTTTTCCTCGTACTAAATGTACGCTTGAGCTTTGAGGAGGAAAGCATCCAGTGTTGCCGAGGCCCGGAGGCCGACAACTTTAGCGAAGTATGTGCAGGGACGGAGCTCGCGTTCTAGCAGGAACCTTTCCGTGTCATCAGTGGTAGAGACTTGGACGACCTTCTTGTTGAATCTTTCAATGTAGGCTCATAGGGGTTCATCTCTGCCCTGATTGATGGCTTTAAGGGAGGCTTTGGTCTTTGGATGTCAGTGAGAGGCCGTGAAATGTTTGGAGAAGAGTCTTCTCAGTTGCCTCTATGAGGTGATGGAGTCGTCAGGGAGTCCTTTGTACCAGGTCATTGCCCTCTTCCTGAGTGTGGTCAGGAATAACCTACACTTGATGGCGCCCCGGACTCTGTGATAGTAGAGTAGCGCATCGATGTTTTTGATGTGCTAGTCAGGGTCGGTTGTTCTATTGTACGTGCCTAGAGAATGGGGTTTCTATAGTCCCATTTGGAGGCACATGGCCATGATCTCCTGGGGCAAAGGGCCGCAAGACTCATTGTGACTGTTGCTACTGGTCTAAGAAGGGGAGTGGGCGTCATGTCTATAGGCGGGACGCTGACCTCGTCGTGGAGATGGGGTTTGTGCTCGGCTCTTAGATCTGGGTGGCGAATGTTGGGATTCTACCTGGTGGCTTCTTCTGGTCCTTTTGGGATGTGAGGAATGTTGGTTCTGGGGAGAAATCTGGTCGCATTTGCGGATGGTCAGGGTCTCTGGCTCTGGAGGCGTATGACGGTTCCTCTTGCACCAGGGAGGGGGACTCCGTCGCTATTGACATTTTTTCCTCGGCAGAGGGGATCTTGGACGACAAAACTCTTCCAATGCTTCAATCCTCGCGCTCTGGTTGAGGATTGGGAGGTTGATTTTGTTGAGAACCTCGAGGAGGGTCACCATGGCCGGGTCGGCGTTGGGTGGAACTGAAACTGGAAGGTACTGCGGGACAGGTGGGGCCATATCGTGATCTGCACGAATAGGGGATAGAGAAGTTGTGGCTTCGTCCCTTTGTCGGAGGACGTCGCCGCCATGAGAGGTGGTGGCTCCATCAGCATCAGTCTTGCTGATGGAGAGGAAAGCAGAGTTACAAGCATTAAGATTGTTGTCACGGGCAACCATGATCAGAAAATTGAAAAATTGTTTTAGTCTTGTGTTCTATGAAAAGAGAAAAGACGGGGATAACGAGTTTCCCACAGACGACGTCACTGGTCTTACCGAACGATCAAAACATGAGATGGGCCAATGACAAACGTCTGTGATCCTAGGTGTGAAAGAGGGGGAAGAGGTGTACCTGCGAGACACTCCGATGCTAAAGTAAGAAAACGAGCAAGACAGCGAGTAAGTACAGAATATGTGTGTTTCAAGGTGAGAAATTGGATACCTGACCCTTTCGAACGGGAGGGTTTTTATAATGCCTCCAGCTCTTGGCCATTGGTCCCTATTTTCGGGGCGAGATAACCGTTTTCTAAAGAATATGTAACTGTCAAAAATAGCCGTTGGGACGAGCAGACGTGCCCATAACTAGCCGTTGGCACGGGCAGGGGCGTAGTTATAGGCACAAGCGTCTTGGCTGTTTCTGGATGGTGGAACTGTGCATGACGGGCAGAGATTAACTGGGAAAAGTACTGTGACCAAGGGTAAATAGGTCAACCTCCCATGTTGGAGGGGCAGAAAGGTAAACTTTCCTCCAGAGGTTGGACTTAGACAATTTGGCCGTCCTAGGAGCAATGGGTTAGGCCATGCTTACCCATTAGACCAGTCCCGGAACATCGGGTGTATCAGAATTTTTAAAAAATCCAAAAATTTGCTACTCCTTTTAGGATATTCGAATTTTTGTTGGATCTTTTAGAAAATTCGATAAAAAATATTGATTTTTTCAAAAAATATCGAATTTTCTAGAAAATACGGTATAAATGCGTTGTTTTTTTTAAATCTTATAAAAACTCATTCTAAATTTTTAAAACGCGCTATAAATGCAAACTTTTCACCTATTTCAAAAAAAAAAAATCATACAAATTTTTTTACTACCACTAAAGAAAATTTCAAATTTTAGAAAATTCAATCAAAATGAATTATTTTAACCAATCATAATTTTGAAATAGATAGATAATAAAAAAGCATTTTGAACTATCTTTTATAATATATTAAATTTTATGCAATCAACAGAGTCGTCTCAAACTTTTGAGAGGCTTTGCGTAAGAAGTTGGAGTTAACTTTATTTTAGTCGTAAAATTTTTTATGGGATCCTATTTAAACGTGAAATATGTGTATAAAAGCAATTTTTTCTCTAACTTAATCATGAAAAAATTGTGAGACCATGTGCTATAGGCCGCCTTGCACGTCCTAAAAAAACAACCATGACAATCGATTATATTACGACACATAATAAGGCATGTAGGTTATATTTGATAGATAGATTAAAATATGACGTGTCATCTTTAGAATTGAATCTTGCAACAAATTTACACAATTATATTTCAACTTCTATTCCAAAAATCATATGGTAAAAAATCACACATAATATGACATGTAGGTTATATTTGTCACATCAATTAAAATTTGATGTATCACCTTTAGGATTGAATCTTGCAACAAATTTACACAATTATACTTCAACTTCAACTTGTATTTCAAAAATATATGTTACAAAAATCTTATTATAAAATATCTCACCAAAGTTAGTTACAATTATCACTCCGTGTATAATTCAATTTTTTCACCTTACATCTAAAAAATAATAATAAGTACACAATTTTGTTAATAATTACGTTATTCTTTATATATATATATATATATATATATATATATATATATATATATATATATATATATATATATATATATATATATATATATATATATATATATATATATATATATATATATATATATATATATATATATATATATATATATATATATATATATATATATATATATATATATATATATATATATATATATATATATATATATATATATATATATATATATATATATATATATATATATATATATATATATATATATATATATATATATATATATATATATATATATATATATATATATATATATATATATATATATATATATATATATATATATATATATATATATATATATATAATATAATATAATATAATATCAAAAAAAATATAATAACTACATTATTTTTTTTAATTATAAAACATCATAAAAAAACAATCATTCAAATATAAAAATAAAAACTGAAGACTAACAAAAACAAATTTATATTAAATATTTAAAATTATTACAATAATTTTATTAGTTGACCATTTTTTATAATTAATTTAATTTTTATTTACAAGTTAATAAAACACAATTACACTTCAATTTTTATTTCAAAAATCATATGTTACAAAATTTTTATTATTATACTTCTCAGAAGAGTTAAACATAACTAAATATAATTATCACTCTTTATATAATTTAATATTTTTACCATAAATCTAAAAATATAATAACTGCGTTATTTTAATAATAACTACACTATTTCTTCTTCTTTTTTAGAGTCTAATCCCTAAAAATATAATAACTACACTATTTTGTTAAATTAAAATATATTTAACACATAAATAAACCGATCATTTAAAAATAAAAATAAAAAACAGACGGCTAACTAAAAAATATTATTAAATATATGAAGTTCTTACAAAATTTAATAACTAAATTAATTTTATTAATTGATTAATTTTCATAACTAATTTAAACTTTATTTAAAATTAATAAAATAAATAATCATAAAATAGATATATTTTGCTCTCTAAATATTAAAAAAAACATATGATTAAATGTTTTAACGGAAAATCATTTTATATTTGATCAATTTTTATAATTAATTTAATTTTTTTTAAGTTTTATGATTATAAAATTCTAATGTATAATTTAAAACATGCTATACACTTTCTCAATAAAATGAAATATTCCTAATACTTACAAATAACAAATTTACTTTAAACAAAAAAAAATAGCCACAAAATTTAAAACATTAATATATTTTAGTCCAACAAAAAATAATTGAATAATATCGGAATAAAATAAAATTGCGCAGGTTATCATCTAGTACAATAATAAAAGGGGTGTCAAGCATTACAAATGGCTGGATAAAATCTTATAAAAATGATAGAAAGGAGGAGTTACAAGGCATATAAACTATCATACTATTCAATAATGATAATCCAAAAAAGATGAAAAAATAGGAAAAATAGGGAAAGACAGAGCAATACATTCCTTAATCTCCTCTCTCCCAAAAATTACAAACAATCATATCAAGTTATTATTTGACAACAATTGATGAATCAATCTAACATGTATTCCCTTCAAGACTTCAACCAATACTATATATCAACAAATTTCTCTTTGAATAGATATGCCTAAAACTTCAAGACTTGATAATCCCAAGTGCTTCTGCTTGAAGTGAAACAGAATGTTTAACATCACCAATATGAAGACTATGTACCCCCATTGGGATTCTCCTAATCCCAGATCTATCAACCACACTAAGCAACTTGCAAACATGAATATTCACTCTGACTCTTTGTTTACTCTTTGCATGAACATGAACTTTCTCAAAAGCCACTAGCTGTTTCTGTGGAACCCAATGGGCACCACCGTTAGGGGGAGCAGAAAACACTAACAATGTGTGTGTTCCATCTCTAGATCCAACGTTTTTAACATCAACATGAAGGGCTATAGAGAGTTTGCCACATCTTGCATGTGTTACTCTAATTGCTTTGTTTGAAATGTTTGTGTTGTTGCCATGTCTGTGACCATGAATTGGAACTGACACGATTGCAGGTGCACTAGCTAACGTGTGAACAAAATGTGTGTATGTTAATCCATGTCCAAATGGATATACAACTGGTCCTTTGTAGAATCTGTATGTCCTTCCTGGATACCCTACTGTGGTTGGTCTCATTGCCATATTTGTCATGGCCAAGTTTTTTAGGTACTCCTGTGGGTACCATGTCACAGGTAGCTTGCCTCCTGATAGCAAAGACCATTGTGTTAAATTCATTGAATAACTGATGTATCTGATACATATATATTGAATAAAAATATATTTTATGACAAACCTGGGTCGGCGGTTCCAAATAGAATATCAGCAATGGCAGCACCACCGGCTTGGCCAGGATAACCGGCCCACAAGATGGCAGCGATTCGAGGATCTTTCTTTGCGAAAGTAATATCAACAGGCCCACCAGACATTAAAACCAAAATAGTTGGTCCCTTTGATGCAGCTGCCACCTTTGAAACAAGATCTTGTTGATGCCCAGGCAAAAGCAAACCAACTCTATCAACTGTTTCAGCTTCAATAGATTGATCCAAGCCTATCACTAGAACAGTTGCATCCGCTTTACGTGCTGCATCTAAGGCAGGCCCAAAACTCTTATCATCTCTACATGCAACATTTACACAACCCTGCTGATGAATAGTTTTAGCATATCTTGCTATCCCTTGTAAGGGACTGGTATATCCACATGCAATACCTATAAAACATGTTTTTGTTATTTTTACAGAGACTAATTAATAAGAATTAAAAAGCAAAAACATAGTAATTGGTTTGAACTTGGCCTTATGATTGGGCCTTGAAGAACATGGCCTTACCGGCATAGTTTCCAATCATGGTAACTGTGACATTAGAATTGGGCCCAATGACAGCCACAGTTCTGTGTTTTTGTGAGGAAAGAGGCAAAGCTGGGCCAATGTTTTTGAGAAGCACAATTCCTTGTCTAGCAGCTTCAAGTGCAAGCTCTTGGTGGGACGGTTTACACACATCTTTTGGGCCTAAGTTGCCATAAGCATGAGCTGTTGAGTCTCCATCAAACATCCCTAATCTCATTTGCACAGTTAGTGTATTCACTAAAGCACCATTCACATGTGCTTCTGTTAACAAACCTTTCTTCACTGCATCCTGTGTGTGTATTCCTAGGAAAGGCCCACAATCTAAATCCAAACCTGTAACATCATTTTAGAAATTTAGCAACAATTGTTGTGTCCTAAGTTTTTTACATTTTCAATGTCGACGTGTCAGTCTTAATGTCTGTGTCACGTATTTATTTGTGTTGGAATATGCACTAACCTGCTTTGATGGCATCCGCAGCAGCTTCTTCTGGAGTTGATGTATAATGCTGGTTATTGTAGAAAACTCCGACAGAGTCACAATCAGATACAATGTACCTAAATTCATTAATCCCAACAAAACAAAAGTTTAGATTATTTTAGTTTAAAAATGAGATAAGTGGATTTGATATTTGTATAACTTTGAGGTTACCCATCAAGACCCCATTGGCCACGAACTGTCTTCTTTAGGAGATTGGGATCAGCACATGTAGGGACACCATTGACTTGATTGTAAGAACACATCACACTAGCTACATTCCCTTCCTTCACACACATCCTAAATGGCACATCAAATGTGTCTTCTATGTCTTGCTTACTCACCTACGCATTATGTTTCAAGTGAGTTTTACTTTTGCACATGCTCAGAGACAATACACTAAAACATTAGGTAAATATTTGTCAATGAAATGCATCCATATTCCATATATGGCCTAGCAACATGATAAATCCCCATCAATGTTTTGCAACAAAACAACTCATGTTAGGAAAAGCATTTTAATTCAACATCGTGCTATCCACTTTCTCCTATTAATCATGTTTGTGTGTTACTTTTGCCTTTTTCAAAAACAAAAATCATGGTTGTATATAAAAGGTGCGAACTGATGTATAAACTTCCACATGTGTAGGACATATTTGAGGAACCTATATTATTTTGCATACCAAACTATACCCAACTTGGTGTAAAAGTACAATAATTTAGTATCATGAATTCATTACAATGCAAATGTTAAGATTCATTTATAAGTTCATTCACCTCTAATTTCTTTATAAGAATAAATTTATACAACTAACGCAGTGTTTGTGTTGGTTGATTTTCATATTGAAATAGTCTTACATCATTTAATTTTGTAAAAAAATAGGGAGTTTAAGATTATAAAATGGAATGTAAGATCCAATGTGGATGTTTCCCCTCACAATGAATTCTGTCTTGTTAAAACTCTCGTGAAGTGGAAAGGGTGTCAATGGCATTACAAGTATATGTAGATGAAAAAACTTTCGCTTGAGCTCTCTTTGAGAAGATTACTTTTTAAGTTTATATTATATATTATTAACTTTTACCCCAATTTTTAAATTTGTTGTGTTTTTGTATATATAAGTTAGTTTAACTTCTATTTTATCAAAAATTAATTCAATTAATTAGTTTATTTGTTATAAGCTATTTTACAATTTAATTGATTTGAATTAAGGATTAAAGGAGTTAGAAGTCTTATGTTCAATCTCAGAAAAAGTAGAACAATAAGAATTGAAGGGATTACCCATTTTGGATTCAATCTTTTATAAAATAGAAAAAAAAAATTATACTAACTAGTATCATTTTGCCATTAGAAAAACTTGAACATATAAAAAATATTCATTGTTCAAATAACAAATTATGTTTTGGTTTTGGTAGGGATGATAAACTTGATTAAGTTCAAAGCAAAAGCAAGCAAGAAAAAACAAGATTAGCTCATAACAGCCCACTCAGCTGAGTCATAGTTATTCCTTTATCCAAAAACAAACAGATAAGATAAAGAACCCAAAGAGGACCCACAAATCCAACAAAACCAACTTGGCCTATACTAAAACTACTAAACTCAATACATGAAGAAAAAAAAAAGAGTATAGTACTACAATACTAAGTTAAGTAAAGATTTTTCAACTTAAAATGAATAATTGTCGTAATTCAGAGAAGATTCCCATTTAAACAAAGTCACGTGCATTAGCATAAGGTAGTAGTATAAATCAATTAATTAAAATAACATCAAAATAATAAAATATATTTCTAATCTATTTTTATCAAAATTAAACAGTACGCACCTGTGCATTAAAGTGAAAGCGATCCACACCATTCCAATTATCAATATCATAAGCTGTGAAGTGTTTACAACAAGCAGCAACTTTCAACCTGTTACCGTCTGTTCCCTGTAACCCTTTCACATAATTTGCAGCATAACTACCGGCTAAAACAGGATCTTCACCGGGAGTTTCCTGTCCACGACCCCACCTAGGGTCTCTGAAAATATTCACATTTGGACTCCAATAAGTTAACCCTGCTGCTCCTCCATTGTACATTGCTCTTGCTTCGTCCGAGACAACCTGCGAATTACCAACCCACGTTGAATTTTGTTACCTTTTTTATGGAACATCCAAATGTTTTGCAGATTATCTAAATGTTTTTTTTTTCAATTTTGGAAAATTGTGACTGGGATGATGTGCAAGTTGCTTAGGAAAGTGGGACGGTGAAAGGGACCCACATGAAATCATAAGCAAGTTGTGAATTGAACCAATAAGCAAACAGAATAAAATAAATAAATCAAACCAACCCTTCATGATTGGTAATGGGTTCCTAGCCATAACATGTTTAATCTAACTACATTTATTATTCAAATAAATCTAAGAAAAATAAATTCACCGTTATAAATAAATCATTATATAGAGAGAGCCATTAATTTGAAAAGATTTTTCACACCCCAGTTACATGATCAGATAGTTAAGCTACATACACATAATTAAATGAATAGTCATCTTGCTCGTGCAAAATGTACGGTGACCGTAAGTGCAAGCACTAGTGTCCTGTGTGCCCACGCCTTCAAGTTTAAGAACACAGCACTAGTGATCTTTATATATATATATATATATATATATATATATATATATATATATATATATATATATATATATATATATATATATATATATATATATATATATATATATATATATATATATATATATATATATATATATATATATATATATATATATATATATATATATATATATATATATATATATATATATATATATATATATATATATATATATATATATATATATATATAATTTGTCCATAAATAACACCAGCACTTTTTGTGTGTGTATGGTGGGTGGATCAATATCAATAACTTTGCCCATATTGCAAAACAAAATTAAAGCACTATTATGCTACTATCTTATCATCTTAATAGAATAACAGCAAAACAAAAAGAAAAAACAGATCTTGACAAAAAAAGCAAAGCAAAAGTCATGTATTACATATAACAGAAAAGAGTATGATATATTACACATTTTATATCGTGAATCATATACTATATGCTATTTATCCTTAATGATCACTTAACATAATCACACTTTTTCTTATATATTTTCTCGTCATTTTCGATATATATTTTAAAAGTAATATAATAGTACATTTTATGTTTACAAAAATAGTATTGCAGTACAACTTTTTTCTTTAAATGATAACTGTTTTAAGCACTGATTTAAAGAAAAATGATTACCAAAAATGTTGATTTTTCCAATTTCTCTAATTCTAGTAAATAACTAGTGTACTTTTTTGTACAAGTTAGTTGCAGTTGCATACACAAAATGAAATCTCACCCGTCCAATTGCTTCCCACAAAGAAGCATTAAAAGAAGCAGCGGTTGTGATGACTTGAGGAAAGCTAGTCGCGCCGGGAAACACACCACCGAATCTGGTACCAGGACCGACATTCGAAACACCGTGAAGTGCCTCCGACCACCACTCGTAGCCTTTGATTCCGATTCTCGGAACCGCCGCGGCATTGTTAACTAACAGATTAACTTTCTCTGGAAGCGTTAATCTTCCAATGAGATCGTTCACTCTCTGTTGAATGGTGAGTTTCACATTGCAGAATGGTAGGTTCTTTGTTGTGGAGGATTTTGGATCGCACGCGAAAGAGTCACGTGAGTCGCATGTGTGGTGGAGGAGGAAGAGGATGAAAAGGGTGAGGGAGAGTGGGAGTGAGAATGTGAGAGCCATTTTGGTGGAAAAAGTAGAAACTGATTTGAGAAGTGGAGGAATGGAGGGAACATTGTTTATATAGTAAAAAAAAAAAATAGAATTATTAAAAAAATAGAATTTGGATAGGTGAAGTGAAGGAATCTCTCTATAGTAGGCACTTTCTTCATCATCATTGTTGAGTGTTTTTCTTTTTATTATTATTGTTGCTTTTTCTTAACTGTTTTATTATGACAGTGTAGCAACTTGTTTGGCTGCAGGTGAGATTTTAATAATGTTTTGGTGGGTACTTATTTAAAAATAGATTACATAATTAATGCACAATATTTAACAGATTAGTACTACAGTAACAGCAGGCAATAGCTACTACCAAAGAAATTCACCAGCATAGGATTAGCCACTTGTATTCATAGAAATTAAACAATGCTTATGTTCGGTCTCATCCGATAAAGAAAACATGGATAAGGAACATGATATTACGAAGAGTAAGTTTAGGTTACTCTTCAGATTATTATTCGTACAATCTCAATTAAAGCAATTTTAAACCTTGTTTATTTTATATAAAAATAAAACTAGTTTAACTTGCTAAAGGGGGAGATAATAGAATCTCAGAGTAAACAATAAATTAATTTTTTTTTCTTTAAAAACATGCGGGTGTAGGGACAATAAAAAAAGATACAGACTGTTAGAAAATTAATTTAATTAAAAGATATAGACTGTTAAAAAATTAATTTAATTGAATGGATCGAGCTTAAAATCGTGAATAATGTCATTTTTCTTAAAAATGTTTTAAGTATTTTTCTATAATCTTAGATTTGAAACACAAAAATACCCAAGATAATTCAGTCTTTTAATCGAATCTGTACAAGACTGGTGAAGATACGAATGCAGAGAAGAGTGTCTGAAATTATGTGAAGAGGATGAACGATTTTTTAATTTGCTTTTTTGAATTCAGAATGCTCAATTTATAGGTTAAACTGATGTTGTTTCATAAGGTTGCGACCATCGATAAAACACACACTTTCAGTAACACTTTTGCTAAATGTTGCAATGTTTCATCCGCAACAGCCGTTTTCAAACGTTGCGCTGTTTCGCCTATAACAACACTTTTATCAAGTGTTGCAGTGTTTCGCTTACAGCAACGATTTTCAAAGGTTATATTATTTTACATTCTACAACACTTCACGAAGTGTTACCTATTTCTGAATTCAAACCTAATGCAACACTTTACAAGTGTTGATGGGTCATCATGAAGGGGAAACATTCAAATTGGGTCAAATACTTACTTAAAGGTCAAAGCCTCATCCAAACAAGTGAGAGAGACATCACATATTCACCCGAAATCTTAAGATGATAAGTGTATGAATCCTCTTACTTATAAAGTGTTCAACCTCCACTTTTTAAAGCAATGTGGGACTATAACTCACACTTATTTCTCTACATAACTCACACTTGTTTCCTAACAATCTTCCCCTCAAATGTGAGTTCATCCACTATATTCCGCCTAAGCGGAAGCTCTTTCATCCACATACTTGTGCCGCCGTTGAGAGACACCCTTATCTCTTCAAGGACACATCAATGGGACACGTCGCCTGACCACATGTCAGGAATACTTTTGACCCAAGGAGTCGGTTTCTTACTCGAACCGGACTCTGATACCACTGATGGGCCGTCATGAAAGAGACACATTTATATTGGGTCAAACACTCACCTAAAGGTCAAAGTCTCATCCAAACAAGTGAGAAAGACACCACATACACCCAAATAAGTGAGAGAGACACCACATCGGGATCAACCTCAATGCTTTTCTGACTCACAATAAAGCCTAATAGTTTACCTGATCGGACTTAAAATGTGCATTTTGCAGGATTTAACCGCAGCCTGAACTTTCGAAGTCTAGCAAACAGTTTTCTCATATGGTACAAGTGATCGTCTTCAATCTTGGATTTGGTAATCATGACGTCCACGTAAATCTCAATATTTTTATGTATCATATCGTGAAAGAGGGTTACCATGGCGCGTTGGTATGTTGCCCCCACATTTTTCAAACCAAATGACATGACTTTATAGCAGTATGTGCTCTAAGGTGTGATAAAGGTGGTTTTCTCTCATCTGGAGACATCTTTATCTAATTGTACCCTGAGAAACTATCCATGAATGAAAAGGCTAAGAATTGCGCAGTGTTGTCCACCAAGACATCAATATGAGGCAAAGGAAAATCATACTTCATGTTTGTCTTATTGACATCTCGATAATTCATACACATTCTAACCTTCCCATCTTTCTTAGGAACCGAGACGATGTTAGCAACCCATTGAGGATACTCAGCAGTGGCTAGGAACCTAGCGTCAAACTGTTTCTTCATCTCTTCTCTGATATTTAGTGCCATATCAAGCCTAGTACTTCTAAGCTTCTGCTTGACAGGAGGACATTCAGGTTTGAATGGTAAGTGATGTTCAACGATGTTGGTGTCTAAACCAGACAAAGATATCAACATACTCTTGCAATAACTTTACCAACTCGGCGTGTACATGCTTGGCAAGAGATGCCCCAACCTTGACTTATTTTCTGACTTCATCAGTGCCCAGGTTGACCATGTATACTGACTCTTTGTATGGCTGAATCTCTTTCTACTCGTGCTCAAGGAGCCTTGCTAGTTAAGCTGGAAATTCACAATCTTCCTCACTGTCTTCTTTGGCTTGGTTAATTGGAAGCCCAGAGTTACAATGGATATTTGCCATGTTATTATCAATGCATTTACTTTCTTTGCATGTTTATGAATTTTGCTTAGAATGAGTTCTTTTAAAGGTAAAAATAAAAGAAACTTTTTTCATTTGTTATTTGTGAAAAACGTAAAATAAAGAAAGGAAATGAGCGTGATTTGTATGCAAAAACTTTCATTTATTGATCACATAATATTGCTAAAATGGGAGGCCCTTACAAGCTACCATCTCGTCTCGGGAGAAGACAAGGGATTAGAAAAGCAAAATGGATTACACGTTTGAAGGAAAAACCATGGGAACCACGATAGCCGTCCAGTTGTTAAGCTTGAAATCGGGAGGACATTTGCACACAAATCTTGCATCCCACTTGCTATTGCTAGCATCACCAATGATAGTCGCAATGTCGCCTTTCTAGAAGCCATCACTGTTGAACTTGATCGGATTGAACTTCTTTTGACCACCCGAGTTGGCTTGTTGAGCAGGACGATAACCCAGTCCGAAACGATCATGTTTCTCCACAACATCTACCACCTGCCCCCAACTGGGAAAGGTGCCATTCTCAAGAGCTTCTCTTGCACTCTTAGTAGATGATAAGATCATTTTTAATGATTTACCTTGATTGATAGAAGTAGAGCTGACAACCTCGAATTCGAGACATTGCAACAACACCTCAAATATACCTTCCTTTGTCTCGACATATCGAAAGGAAGATAACTCGCTTACCAACAAATCTTCTTCACCATAAATAATAACCATTTGATCTTCATACATGAATTTGAGATTCTGGTGCAATGTGAAAGTAATTTCCCCAGCATCGTGAATCCAGAATCTACCCAACAAGCAACTATAGACATGGTTGATGTCTATCACTTGGAACGTGATGGTGAACAAGTAAGGTCCAACCTTGATTGGAAAATCTACCTCGCCAATAACCCATCTTCTAGAACCATCGAATTCCATGATGATAAAAGCACCAGCCCTCATCTCGCTCTTTTTCTATTAGTAATTGACTTAACGTGCCCTTGGGCATCACGTTGAGGGAAGAACCACTATCCATGAGTACACAAAATAGCAAGGCATCCATACATGTTATTGATGTGTGTAGCGCTTTGTTGTATGCGGTCCCCTCAGAAGGCAATTCAGCTTCATTGAAACCCAGATATCTACTTGCGGTTATATTGGCAACCATATCATTAAACTGGTCAACAGAGATGTCATGCATTACATGGGAGGCATTCAACACTTTCAATAAGGCCAGTCTATGAGCGAGAGAACTCATAAGCAAAGATAAGATCGAAATCTTCGAGGGAGTATGCCTTAGTTGATCCACAATCTTGAAATCGCTATTCTTAATCAACTTAAGAAACTCTTGATTTTTTCAGTAGTTACTTCTTTCCCTTTCGCAACCTCTGCAGGTGGAGTAATCGGTACCACTGGAACAAATATGGATGAGGATGTCCCTTGTTGCATAACAGGGGTTGTTGAAATGGCCTTTTCCTTGGGAGGATTAGTCGTTGGCACTTGAACTATTTTTGAAGAAACTTTGTAAGAAAACACTCGTCCGCTACGAGTTATGCCTCCAACATCAGCTATATTCACATTCTCAAATTTGGAAAACTGTATTTCTTTGCCCCCTTAGTACACAGTAGAATCATATTTTTAAGGCACCGCCTTAAAGCTTTGATAAGGAAACGACCTAGGCTCATAAATGGTAATAGGATGAATCTTCTTCTTTGGAGCTTCCACGGGAAATTTTCTGTAGATGATCGTGAATGGTTCAATGGTAGCCACTTTCTCGATGGCTCTGGATCTAGAAAACTGAACCACACCTCTGTTCATCAGAATCTGAACACAACCTTTTAGTTCTCGACATTGATCAGGATTAGATTCACAAATGGCACACCCATCATGAAGACCCTTCAGGATCCCATGTTCACTCAATTTCTTCGTCACAATAGTCATTGGGGTTTTCACCTCATCGATATCTCTAATCAGTTCAGCCTCTTCATTTTCTTCAACCATGTTAACCACCGGCCCACCATGAGTATGCAAAGGATTAGTCTGCACGTTGGGACGTTCCTCAGTGAATGTCAAAATCTTCTGATCAATTAGCTCTTGTAATTTGATCTTAAAAACAATATAATCCTCAATAGCATGCCCTATGTACCCATCATGGTACACACATGATGCATTAGGATTATATTTTAGGATATACAAAAAGATTGCAAGCAGAATCTCCTTTGGCACAATTGCTCCTTAGTGGATAAGATAAGGGAACAATTTTGTGTATGACATGAG